AAACCTTCAAATACCATCTCCCTCCTTGTTTTTCAGCTTCTCCGTAAAGTCCCAAGCGTCAGCTCATCTTTGCCCAAACAAACTTGCAATTAAGGGATGCATGTTCGATTATGGTCTGCAATTGAATCCGAGTTTCAAATAGGGAAGGAAAGAAAATGGCAGTGAATTTGAATCAAGCTGCGGGCGAGCGTAGCTGGCTGAGAACCCTCCACCGGACCAACGATTCCTCCCCGACTCCTGTGGGCGGTCTTAGCAGCGCCTACTTGATGACTTCCTCCCCATCCCAAATCACAGATCTCGCCCTTCGCATCACAGAACACGACCTTCGAACTCGCCAAAAATTATCTCCACTTGCAATCAGTTGCTGGAGAACCATTCCCCTTGCACCACCTGCGTCTCGGCTTTGACCTACGTCCAGTGCAGTCAAAATCGCGCTTTAAAGCGTAAAATCGTACGATTTTACGTTTCTAGGGTAGGAAAACGTTTCAAATCACCAATAAAATCGTTAATTACTCAAAATCGTTCAAAAGCGTAGTAAAATCGGTAAAATCGGTAGAAACGGTTAAAAACTCGTTTTTATACCGCTTTTGTACGATTCCGAGCATAGGAGAAAAAAAATTTCCTTTCATCAAAACGACGTCGTTTTTTAATTTTGATTTAAAAAAAAAAAAAAAAAGTTGCGGCTGCCAAAAGGGAGAAGGGTTACGCTGAACCCTAATTTTATCGATCTCCAGCGCCGCACCACCCACCCTTCTCCTCATCTCCCTCGGCCGCAGCTCGTCAGTCGTCACCTCACTCGGCCGCCGCTCGTCGCCTTCACGCGGCCGCAGCTCGTCGCCTCACTCGGCCGCGGCCCGTCGCCCTCGTCAGTCGTCATCAACCGCCTGTCTCCCTCAGCCGCCGCCCGTAGCTCGACGTCGTCCACTCGTCCGTCGCAAGTCCACAGCGCCCCGTCGCCCGCCGCCGCCCTAACTCCGTCGTCCATAGCTCGTCGTCTTCACCCGCCGGTTGTCGTCTTCACAGTCAATGGTTTTTCTCTTTTCTCGTTATTTCATTTGCAATCTAAAATGGAATCTTACCTATTCAAATTCAGAAACGTAAACACGATGGGGGCACTGATCTAGATGATATTCAGTTGTTCACAGTCACCATTTTATGCTCTTGCAGGACAAGAGCTCAAAAATTGATGAAATTGGTGCAGTAGCAGGCTGAAAATTGATAGGCATCCTATTGTTCGTTGTTTTTGGAAGTGGTTATTTTGAGTTTGGGATAGGGGTTTGACTTCCAAGTTTTCATATTGTTGAGGTAAATCCCCTTTTCCCTTGCTCTTGTAACTGATATTGCCTTTCCAGTTTAGAATTGAAAGAATCAAGATGGTGAATTTAGCAACATCCTTAGCCATGAGTTCATACGACTTACTGCTTGCTCTCCTTATTGTGCAGGGTAATTATGTCGAGTGGGGGTACTAGTGCAAGTAATACTGTATCCAATTCTAGAGTGAAGAGAAAAATGCACAGGGCAATCGTCTAGATCCCGGTTGGCAGCATGGTATAGATGTACTCGGTAATGGGCAGAAAGTGAGATGCAAGTATTGTGATAAGGAAGTATGTGGTATATCTCGCTTCAAACATCATCTTGCAGGAACAAGAAAGGACTCTATCGCTTGTGTTAGTGTTCCTGATGAAGTTAGAGCAAAAATGTTAGAGCTACTTGGTGCAACTGAAGAAGAGAAGGCGACTAAGGCAAGAAAGTTACATGATCTCGGTTTTAGTCGTGATGGAGAGGGTAGTGGAACTCCTAATGAAGCTAGTGGCAGTGGCACTGGAAAACAGAAAACAATAACTACAGTTTTGAAGAAAGAACTCCGGGAAAAGGCTTGCAAGTCGATATCAAAATGGTGGTATGAAAATGCTATTCAATTCAATGCAACTAGATGCGATAGCTATCACCAAATGTTGGAAGATATAGCTCGGCATGGTCCTGGTTTTAAGGGTCCTTCTTATCATGAGATTAGGGAGACTTTGCTGAAAGAGGAAATGCAGGAAGTGGAGAATAAATTGGGGATCTTCAAAGCTGAATGGAAGGCGGTGGGTTGCACAATAATGTCTGATGGATGGACAGATAAGAAACAGCGAGTTCTATGTAACTTTTTGGTTAATAGTCCTCGTGGAACTGTATTTCTTGAAGCTGTTGACACTTCTGATTTTTCGAAGACTGCTCAAAAGGTGTTTGAGATGTTAGATGGAATTGTTGAGAAGGTTGGGGAAGAGAATGTTGTTCAAGTTGTGACAGATAATGCTTCAGCTTATAAGGCAGGAGGACAATTGTTGATGGAAAAAAGGAAGCATTTGTTTTGGACACCTTGTGCTGCTCATTGTTTGGATTTGATGCTAGAGGATCTTGCAAAGCATATTAAGGTGCACGAGACCACAATTTCCAATGGTAAGAAGATCACCAATTTCATTTATGCAAGAACAATGATGATTGCCATGATGAGGGAGTTCACTCAAGGGAGAGATTTGGTTAGACCTGCTGTTACAAGATTTGCTACATCATATTTGACATTAGGATCTCTTAATGACAATAAGGGTTCCTTGATGACAATGTTTTCTTCTGAGAAGTGGAGGAAGAGTAGCTTTTCTAAGCTTCGTGAAGGAAAAAGAGTTCAAGGATTTGTACTTGATGGTAGATTTTGGAAAAATGTGACAAATTGTCTTAGAGCTGCTCAACCTCTTGTCAAGATTCTACGTTTGGTTGATTCTGATGAAAAACCGGCAATGCCCTTCTTATACTCTAAAATTCTCCAAGCGAAGGAGAAGATTAAAAGCAACTTCAACAATGTGGAAAGAAGGTAATTTCGAGTTTCCTTTTCCTATTAACTTATCATACAAACCTATATTTTTATTGTTCTAACTTCTAACTTCTAATTTGTTTATTCTCTATTGTATATACTTTATATAGATACAAGCCTGTCTTGAAAGTCATTGACAAAATGTGGGAAGATCAAATGAGTAGACCAATTCACTATGCTGCATATTGGTTGAATCCTCAAATTCACCATTCTCAAGGATTTAACCATAATGATCCAAAGGTGAAAATGGGATTGTATGAGTGCATATCTAGACTTGCAAAGAATGATGAAGAGAAGTTTTTGATAATGGAGCAGTTGTCTGTATTTCGTCATGCTCGTGGAATGTTTGATAAGTATGGTGCAATGCAATTAAAGGATAGGCAACATCCAGCTGATTGGTGGACCGGATTTGGAGATGAAGTGCCAGAGCTTCAAAAATTTGCTCTTCGGGTGTTGAGTTTGACTTGTAGTGCTTCTGGGTGCGAGCGTAATTGGAGTGCATTTGAGAGGGTAAGTAATAAATTGCCTCTATTTTCTTTTCATCATATCGTTCATTCTTTTTACATGTGAATATGTGGTGATGTGAACTCTTTTACTTGTAGATTCATACTAAGAAAAAGAACAATTTGCGTGCACAAAAAATGAATGATCTTGTGTATGTTATGTGCAACAACAAATTGGTGGGCGGGAATGCCAAGAAAGCAAGAAGGCTTGAGATCGACTTTGAGGATATAGACTTTGATAATGAATGGATTTGTGCTAGTGATAATGAAGAAGGAGAACCACAATCTACAGATTTAGAGGTTGGTGGTGAGGAAGGTGGTCATACTATTGAAGGTGGTGGTGATGCTATTGGTGTTGATGCTCGAAGAGATGAGGGGGATCAGGAATATAGTAGTCCACTTGATGTTGATGGCAATGGTGATGATGATGATAATGATGATGATTTGGATGCAAATGTGGAAGCCGATGAATTGATGTAGTTTTCCTTTTATCATTTATAACATTTGTGTGCTTTGATTGTGAGGACTTGGATTATTAAACGCATATGTCATTATGTAAACTTAAACCAGCTTGTGAGGATTTGGATTCTTAACTCGTTTGTGGGTTATGATTTATGTTTATGAACTAATTGTTATCATGTTATGAGTTTGTTCTAATTTAGACATGAATTGCAGGTATTTTTTCTTTTATCTAAACTCTGTGAACTCATATTTTACATAGTTTATGCCGTACTTAACATTATTTTAACTATTATACAGGATGCATAAAAAACTTACGCTTTTACGCTTTGATTCACCGCTTTTCGATTTTACCCCTTTTCCGCTTTTAGGTAGAATCGCGCTTTTAACTGCATTGCCTACGTCTACGATTTGTCGATTTCAAAGAGCCTTCCATGGTGTCTGTAACAGGGGATTTGGTCGACTTGATCGGTGCTCGAGGACGGCTAGGGATCTGGGTGATTTTGGCAGATTCAAGAGTTGGGTTAATGGGGAATGGAAAATTTGATTTTGACTTGGGTTTTTTCTTTTATTCACGGCGAGACTAAGTAAAAAGTGGGGAACGAGACTAGGGAAGAGGCATTGATGATGAAATTGGTTGGGTTGAGATGATTTGTTTGGGTATTTCCTCCAATCTTCTTCTTTGATGGGAACGGCATGGCAGCCGGCCGGAGTAGAGAGGGCGATGGACAGCTGCTTCTGATACTCTTCTCCAACAATCGGCGATCTGAGAATTTTGCGGAGGCTAGGAGTTTTACCGATGGGTCGGATTTGGTCACTAGATTTAGTGTTTTTAGATTTATTTTATTTTGTAATTTGAGTGGTTCGGGTCACGAATTATTTCGGTCTCGGTTTGGGTCACGAGTTGGGCTAGAGTTTTTGACGTGGCGGCTTTAATGACGTGGTAGGTTGATTTTGAATTTTTTCGGGATAAAATAAGCTGATTGGGCGTTTCTGTTAGCCACGTCAGCAAAAAACTGACGGCGTTAACAGAGACTAACGAAAGTTAACGGAGAGTGACCATAATTGAACTGTTGAACTAATTTGAGTGACCACGAACGGAATTAAATATTTGTAGTGACCAAACATGAATCTTTTCAGTAATTTGAGTGACCAACCTTGCAATTAACCCCCATTTCAAATTTTTCATAAATTTCAACAACCTTTACAACCTGCCTTCAAAGTGTACATTACTGATTATCCATGACACAATTTGCTAATTTCCAGAGTACATATTGTAAAACTTGAGAATGCGGAAAGTAAAGAACACGAGATTTACGTGGTATCCTCGTTCTTAACTGAACGAGACTAATCCACGGGAGCAAGCTCCAGAGAGGGTTTTCACTATGGTATGGCCGAATAGAAATCAAGGCCGAATTAGTTTACACGGCTGATTAGCAGCAGCTATTTAACCTAGGGGATTAGGGCATTAAGCTACCTAATTACAAGATAGTACTCATAATTGAAAGTAGTAGCTATTTACATCCCAACACTCCCCCTCAAGCTGAGGCATGAAGGTCACAAATGCCCAGCTTGGACAAAAGTGCGTGAAACTGATCAGCACCCAAAGCCTTGGTAAAAATGTCCGCCAATTGAGAGGCAGAACCAATCTTCAAGGGAGAGATCTCACCGGTAATCACCCGCTCTCGCACGAAATGACAGTCCATCTCCACATGCTTGGTGCGCTCGTGAAAGACAGGGTTGGCAGCAATGTGAAGCGCTGCTTGATTGTCACAGTGCAGAGGAGTAGCCGCGGACTGGGGAATGCCAAGCTCAGTAAGAAGAAAACGCAGCCAGACAACCTCGCTGACGGTACTAGCCATGGCGCGGTACTCAGCCTCAGCAGAAGACCGAGCAACCACGCGCTGCTTCTTGGTACGCCAAGAAACCGGGGCAGAGCCCAACTGAATATAGTAGCCTGTGGTAGAACGCCGCGTGGTCTGGCAACCGCCCCAGTCAGCATCACAGTAAGCGGAGAGAACCAAAGGGTCACCAGCAGGGAAGAAGAGACCCTGCCCAGGAGAAGACTTAAGATACCGAAGAACCCGGTGAGCAGCCGCCACGTGTTCAGGCCCAGGAGCATGGACGAACTTACTCAAGATATTAACCGCATAGGCGATATCAGGACGGGTGACTGTAAGGTACAGCAAACGTCCCACTAACCGGCGATAAGCAGAAACATCAACCTCAGCATCAGTGGACGAACCGGGACGCGTAAGGGTATGATTCTGTTCCATGGGGAACCGGCTAGGACGAGCCGCAGTGGCGCCCGCGTCACTGAGGATATCAAGAGCATACTTTCGCTGACTGAGAACCACACCTGCAGGAGATCTGGCCACCTCAATGCCGAGAAAATACTTCAGGGGCCCCAGGTCCTTGATACTGAAGCGATCATGGAGAAAAGCCTTGACGCGAGAAATAAATGCAGCATCATTTCCCGTAAGAACGACATCGTCAACATAAATGAGTGCCGCCACAAAAGAACCACCGTGGCGATAAAGCAGCAAGGAATGATCGGCCCGGGACGGTACAAAACCCAGTTCACCAAGTGCTGTGGTGAATTTGTTGTACCAGTTCCGAGACGCCCGACGAAGACCATATAGAGACTTGCGCAGACGACAGACCCGAGTATCACCTGCAGCAGCAAAACCTGCGGGTACCTTCATGTAGACTTCTTCCTCAAGGTCGCCATGAAGAAAGGCGTTGTTCACGTCCAACTGATGGAGAGGCCATCCTTTGCTGACAGCAACAGCAATAAGGACACGAACAGTGACCAACTTGGCCACCGGGGCAAAGGTGTCGTGAAAATCGACCCCCTCAACCTGAGTGAAACCCTTAGCTACCAACCGAGCTTTATACCGTTCGACAGAACCGTCAGGATGATACTTGATCTTGTAAACCCACTTCGAGTCTATAGCACGCTTACCAGGGGGTAAAAACTCCAAAGTCCATGTCCCATTAGCCTCCAATGCCATGATCTCTTTGATCATGGCCTCACGCCAACAGGCATGCTGAACCGCAGTACGGAAATGTCGGGGTTCAACCACCTGAGCAATGGCAGCCAAGAAGGCACGGTGAGAATAAGAGAACCGATGATAACTGACATGATTAGAGATGGGATGAGCAACAACTGGCGAAGCAGAGGAACCCGGCAGATCGACGTCGTAGATGGCGAGTTTGGCAGGTGGCCGACGATCGCGATCACTACGACGGAGGGGAGGAGGTTGCGGTGGGGATGGAGTATCCGCAAGCCCCGTAGTGGCGGGATCCGACGAGCCCGCAAGGGAAGGAGAAGATGGCGCGTCGGTCATGGGAAGGGCTGAATTATTGATGTCCTCGGCATGCATTGTTGGTGGAGTGACGTCCCCAAGCTCGGCATGCATTGGTGGTGGCGAAAGGACGTCCCCAAGGTCAAATGCATTGGTGATGTCTTCAGCACTCATCATGCGCTGCATGATTAAAGGGTCAAGCTCCCCCTCAACACGTTACGCGGGGGATGAGCCAGTAGTGGAACTTGACGACTGAAATGGAAATTCAGTTTCCACAAAATGGACATCTCTAGAAGTATATACGCGCCGCAAAGCGAGATCATAAACCCGGTAACCTTTCTGTGAGTGAGGATAACCGACAAACACACAGCGACGACCACGTTCAGCAAACTTATCTAACCCAGCTCGCGTATCCTTGGCATAAACAAGGCAACCAAAGGCTCGCAAGTGAGTGTAAGATGGCACCCGACCCAGCAAAACCTCAAAAGGAGTCTTATTAGCAAGAACAGACGAAGGCAGGCGATTAATGAGATAGGTAGCAGTCAAGACGCACTCACCCCAAAACCGAATAGGGAGGCCTGCACGAAACCGAAGAGCACGAGCAGTGTCAAGAAGATGCCTGTGCTTTCGTTCCACAACGCCATTTTGCTGAGGCGTGTTAACACACGATGTCTGAAGGAGAATACCCTGGTCCGCATAATAGCTGCACAGTGTCGTAGTCTGAAATTCCATCCCATTGTCGGTTTGAATCCGCCGAACCTGACTACTGAACTGTGTAATTACCATCTGATAGAAAGCAAGAATATATTTCTCAACATCGGACTTGTATTTAAGCAAGTAGACCCAGGTAGCCCGACTGAAATCATCAACTACGGTTAAGAAGAACCGCGAACCATCCAAGGAAGGAGTTTCATAACCCCCCCAAATATCAACATGAATCAAGTCGAAACATTTCTGAGTCATAATTGAACTGGAAGAAAACACAGTACGAGTCTGTTTAGCTCGCCAACAGGAATCACAATGTGTCTTAGCAAAAGCAAACTGGGTTGAACCAAGAACATCACGAAGTAAAGAAAGTTTTTCAAAAGATGGATGCCCAAGACGATGATGCCAAAGAGAAGGGTCGTCGCGCCCAGCAACAGCAAAAGCATCCCGACTGTGACCTCCAAGAGGGGCACCCATGCCGCGACGATCCAAGTAATATAAACCATCACGGAGTCTCCCCATCCCAATCACTGTCTTGGAACGTAAGTCCTGGATAAGGCAAACACCAGCCAAGAACATCAAAGCAACATCATGATCCTGTGTAAGTCGACTAACAGAGAGCAGATTACACGTAAACTCAGGGACGTGAAGAACTCGATGAAGGACGAGCCGATCACTTAAACAAGCTGTCCCCACCCCTGTAACTGGCACGCAACGCCCATTGGGTATGCGTACGGGCGAGTAAGTACCACTACGGTCAACACGATCAAGCCAGCTAGCATCCCTAACGATGTGCTCATTGCACCCTGAATCAATAAGCCAATCGGAAGGGTCAGAACATTTACCGGCCATGTGAGCTGTGGGTTCGGAAGAACCGGGAACAGGAGAGCTGAAGAAGTCCTTCAAGTGTGCAAACTGGGCGGTCGTGAGACCAGGAATAGGGCTGCCATCGGTCTCAACGTGAGCTGCACGAGGTGATGCGTCCCGACGCCGATCCCCCGACTTGCCTTTCTTAGAATCAGATGACGGGAAACCATGCAGACGATAGCACATATCTTTGGTGTGACCAAGCTTACGGCAATGTGTGCACCGCACAGGATCAGGAGGAGCAGCAGATTTCTCGTCCCGAACCTGAAATGCTGCGGACTCGACGGTCGGGCGCCTTGCAGCTGCCAGCAGCTGCTGCTGTTCGTCGCCAGCCACCAGCTGGTATGCTTCGGCAAGTGTGGGCAGGGGCCTGGTACCGAGAATTTGCGAGCGCACCACGGCGAAGACGTCGTCCAAGCCAAGGAGAAAATCGAACAGCCGCTCCGACTCTAGCTTGTCGCGTGCCTGAGCTGCCACGTTACAGGAGCACCCGCCGCAAGAGCATCGAGGCGGTACACTCACAGTTTGCAGCTCTTCCCAATACGTCCGGAGCTGCGTGTAGAAGGCGGAGACGGATGATTTGTTTTGGCGAAGGGCGCCAATAAGGCCGCGCAGCTCGTATGCACGAGTCGCCGAACCCGCCGCAAACCATTGACGAGACGTCATCATCCCACGCACGCTGTTCCGGATCTCTTTGGTCATGGCTGTTTTAAGCCAGCCTTTGACCATCGCATCACAGCGATCCCAGGCATCAAGGCGGACAGGATCAGCTGCGCTAGGTCGAGGTAGAGTCCCGGTGACGAACGCTAGCTTGTTCTTCGCAATGAGCGTCTCAGTCATGTCGCTAGCCCATTCGTTGTAGTTCAGATCAGTTAGGACGTCACCACCGAACAACTGACCTGGGTTCTCGGAGGGATGAAGGAAAAGGGGCGATCCAAGAGGTATGGAGTCGACGCCAGTCATGAGGGCAGCCTTGTTCGCGGCTGTGCTGTCGCTCGAACCATCAATCTTGTCACCCATGATTACAGAGATCGAAGTCGTACGAGATCGATTACCGCTCTGATACCATGTAAAACTTGAGAATGCGGAAAGTAAAGAACACGAGATTTACGTGGTATCCTCGTTCTTAACTGAACGAGACTAATCCACGGGAGCAAGCTCCAGAGAGGGTTTTCACTATGGTATGGCCGAATAGAAATCAAGGCCGAATTAGTTTACACGGCTGATTAGCAGCAGCTATTTAACCTAGGGGATTAGGGCATTAAGCTACCTAATTACAAGATAGTACTCATAATTGAAAGTAGTAGCTATTTACATCCCAACACATATTACTTCCAGAGTACAACCAACAGCTCTATCAAAAGAATAAGCTCAAACTTGAACAAATATAACGTTCCAGCAAGTGAGAAAGGTAAAAGCAGGACGGACACTACTGTGTTAAGGCGAGTTGGGTGTTTGATCACCCTCCAAAACTGCAGTTTCCTGTGCCAATCGAACTTCCTGCAATAAACATGAGAAACAACTGTCAAAACACCTTTTTACTTGGGAGGGCTTTGGAAGGCTATAGCTTGAATTGTGCCAAAGCGTAATGAGTAAAGTAGTTACCTTCAGTGTGGCGTCAGGTGCAATGTGGAATGTTCAAGTAACAGCTTTACCATCATCAAACAGCCATCCAATTTCGCACAAATTCTCTTTCACTGCATACCAAATTTGCTTCGGTAGCAATACAACGTCGCCGCTCGCATCTCTAACCAGGCTCTCCTTCTCCAAGCTGTTGCTGCTGTCATTGCCATCACTTAGTTGGTGAATCAGTCCCTGCATTTCCCCAAAACTCATGAGTACTAGTTCAACAACTAATACTGACTGCCCTTTTGTTAGCTAGCTGCAGGTTTCCTAACGTAATGAAAAGTTGGATGCTCTATGTTTAGGGTGATCTGATTCGGTCTGACTCACGGATTGATCATGATGCTTGGCCAGGGAAAGCCGAGCAGCTTGGCAGGATGGAGTGGCGCAGTGGCGGCGAAGGCACCTTACTTCCATTTAAAGACTCCATACAAAACAACACACCTACTTCGAACACCGAATATGTATTTAATAATAGCAGACAACGATGCAAGTGTAACCTCTTCGTATCGAATTCGTGCAATATAGCAGACTTTTAAAAATAGAGTTGAAATGATTAAATTGATGATGTTCCCTAGATATTAGTATATATGAGGGTGGCAGAGTGTGAGAAGAGGCCTTGATAAGAAAAAAATCTACATATCTTGGACCAATCGAACTCACAGAGATGTTGTTATGTACGTTTATATACTTACTTTGCTCGGCCCAGGATGCTCTGTACCATGTAGCTTCTGAAAGATCTGTTCATTATCAGCAGACCCTTCCCGTTGAAGAGTATGCACCTTTTCCTATACAAAATTAGTACTCAAGTATAAAATATATCAGATTGCTCCTTTTTGGGAATCTACCTATTCATTACTAAGAACAACACACCAAATGCACAATATACTACTCGGGATTCTTGCTAGCTACTACATCCTACAAACATCATTTCCCTTTAGACCACCATCTTGAATTCATGGCTGATGTACGAATATTAACTCGCTCGCAATCTTACTTAGTCTCTACAAATGATGCAATCATAAGTTCAAGAAGTTAAATTAAAATAAATATAACAACAAAAATAACGATTGAAGTGAATTTGGTTTTACATAAAAGTCTTCAGTATACCAACGGCTAACCAAAGTCTGCCAATGAGTATCGAGAACACCTGGAGGCTTCGGTTTTGCAAAGACTTTTTCAATAGACAGGTTAGGATCATAATAATGACTTTTTAGTTTTGACTTATTATTTCCTGGGATTCTGTCTACAGAACCAATCTCTAGAAATGGGAACGAAGGAATCAAATAAACCAGCTGACAGAACAGTAGTATTGGAGAAAAAAAATACCTGAACATGATCAAATATCTTTGCTTTAAAAGCGACTCCCTCTGAACTTTAAGTCTTTTCAAATTTCTTCCCTTTGTTACCATGATACAGTGGATATCAAGGCTGCAATTGACTACAAATGAGAGAAAATCATAAAGACTGATTCTCCATAGAAAAACAGCTTTGTAATTTATACTTTATACAAGTAGAAAGATATCAAGTCTGAAAAGAGGAATGACAGAAAGACAGCTTCTCCTATCACCCTGAAGAATAGTATGCAGAAGCTAACAAAAAGAAGGATGGTGCAAATGTTGTTGGGTGGAAATGGAGTTCGTACGTTTTTCCCAATCGGACAAGGGAAAGTTGGGGAAGGAAGGAAGAGTTTAAGTATTAAATGATAGAGAAAGCTCGAATAGATGTAAATAGAAACCTGAAATTCGTAGTGTACCTTGTAATCACGTGGAAATTGATTAGCAAAGAACCTGTCAAAAACTGTAAAGCAACAAGAAGCCCCTCTAGCAAGGAAGTTGTGCTTTGGACATTCTTCCTTCAACAACTATATAACAATCTGCAAGTAATCTTTGGTAACAGTTAGTATATGGTCTTCTTAAAGGAAAACAATTGCATATGAAACAGAGGACTCCATCCACCTAGATTCTCATTCTGGTGTCTCCAAAGAAACCACAGGGCAATCGATCAGCAACACATCCACATTTGTCCAAGCATTGCCATGTTGCCCCGCATTCCTTTTTGTACCTTTTAGGCAGGATCCTCTTCATCAGTGTAATAGAAATATTCACCTGATGGCTGGTCCCCAAAACCCCACATAACAAAGAAGAATAAGCAAGTTCAATAACCCATTAAAAATAAAGAAAAGAAGAGCAAGATATGGGAGTTTCAGTAGAGCCAGTGGTGCTAGCCTCATGATCATTCAACTTTGGTTTCTATGGTTGTCATAACTGAAAGGTAGATCAACTATAAAGAACAATCACAAAATTTAGACAACCATTTTAGAGGCACAATTGTACACGTCAGGCACTTCATAACTAAGAGTGCACTACATATACCAGTTTACCAGCACTAGTAAGATAAAAAAAAGAATGCCACTCCATAGCAACTAATCCAGTGATAAGACAATACCATCAGGCACTTCACAACTAAGAGTGCTCTAAATTCAGACTAACTGATACTATCCAATCACCAAGCCATTACCATCCATGATCAAACATCAAGTAGAATTTTGAACGTGCAACTGGCACATTATTTGTAGCTTTTCCCTGTGTTCTTTATCTTTGCAGCTGTATCAGAACAAGACTATAAATTTTCTTCAACTAGCAATGGCAACATTTGAAGATCAATAAAAAACAGAGGACCAAGATAAAAGGGGTTGGAGTTTACCATTTTAATTAAGCTGAAGAAGGCTCAATCGTTCGAAGAAGAGCATTCTGTCACAGTATTTATCATAAACAACATCAAACTCACCCAACCATTGAGTTGTCTCCCTCCATAAGGTATGCTCCACTTGGGGAGCGGATATGGTGACAATATCATATTTGTTGTTATTATAACAACACTAGTTTCCAACCAATAGGAAGCTAGGATTATGATGACTTTTTATTAGCTTAATTGACCTAGTGTAAAATTAAAGCAGGAGTATAATTGTCATTAAAAAAATATGTTTAAATAATAATAAAATAAAAGATATTTGTTTATTTTCTGCCCAAAATTTTGGTCGCCGGTCACCGGAAACTAGACCCCGGTAACCGAAATATGCTTTTTGTCGCCGGAATATGCTATTTTATCATCGGAATATGCTCACAGTCGCCGGAATATGCTTACCGGCGTCGGAATCTAGTCATCGGGGCCGGAATATGCCTATCGGTGCCGGAATCTACTCACTGACGGTCATCGGAGTTTGGTCAACGACCACCGGATATAATGGTTTGCATTGTGAGATTGATGGTTTCTCGTGTTTTTTTATGCTATTTGTGGTTTGCTTTATCGTGTTACTTGTTTGCATTAAGAAGTTTCTGGTGTGCTTGAAAAAATTTTGTGGTTTGCTTTGCGGGGTTTCTGGTTTGTTTAAATAGATTTGTGGTATGCATGGGGATGTTTCTAGTTTGTTTTTGTGGTTTGCTTTACCGTGTTTGTGGTTTGCATTATTAGGTTTCTGGTGTGCTTTCGCAAATGTTGTGGTTTGCTTTGTGAGTTTTGTGGTTTGTTTTAGGAGATTTGTTGTATGCATTAGGAGGTTTCTAGTTTGCATTAAAAAGTTTCTGGTGTGCTTTCGAAACTTTTGTGGTTTGCTTTGCGGGGTTTCTGGTTTGTTTTAATAGATTTTTGGTATGCATTAGGACGTTTCTGGTTTGTTTTTGTGGTTTGCTTTATCGTGTTTGTGGATTGCATTATGAGGTTTTTGTTGTGCTTTTGAAAATTCTATGGTTTGCTTTGTGAGGTTTCTGGTTTGTTTTAATATATTTTTTATATGCATTAGGACGTTTCTGGTTTGTTTTTGTGGTTTGCTTTACCGTGTTTGAGGTTTGCATTATGTGGTTTCTGGTGTGCTTTTGAAAATTTTGTGGTTTGCTTTGTGAGGTTTCTGGTTTGTTTTAATAGATTTTTGGTCTGCAATAGGACGTTTTTGGTTTGTTTTTGTGGTTTGCTTTATCGTGTTTGTGATTTGCATTATGAAAAGAAACCTGAAAATGAATACCATTATCACCAAAAAAAAAACATAAATAACCATGTTCAATTCATATAATTACACAAATATATAATTCGTTCTGATTTGGGACTTCTTCCTGTTTGTTCCCAAATCCCATCAAAGGAATCCAACTTGCTTTTCTTGTGGATACAGTCTACCCGTCTTACAAAAGCCACAGCTTGAACGTCTCTCAAACCAAAATCCATGGATGCGTCTGTCGTTGCTCTTCGAGATGGCTTACGTTGTGGACGGTGAAGGCTACTTCGAGATGGCTTGCCCTCACATCTCCAGCACTAGGAAGGAGAAGATCTTCCCCACCAGATCCAACTTCCCCAACACCAATTTCCCCGTAACCACTACCGCTGCCACCGTCCCCGCAAACACAATCCGCTTCGCTAAACATCCAGATCCGATTCAATTCAAAAATCAATTCAAGCAAGATTCAATTGAATCGGAAGAAATAGAGGGGGGGATATAGAAATTCGAATCACAAACTCACAATTGCCAGCCTCTGGAGACGATCTCAAAATCTGGGCTCGTCTTGGAGCTATCGTAAGATCAGCTACGCCTCGTAATCTCCAATTTCTCTAGCGACGACGTTCTTCCTTGCCTTCATGACCTCATAGGAAAAGGTTTGCTACACTCAAGCCCAGGATAATTTACTCGATGAGACGGGGGATTATAAGAACAATGTAGATGAACACAGCCTCAGCTGATAAGAAAATAGACTGCTCTGTAGACCAACTATCTTCTCTCATCTAGTGCGGAGAACTTATAGTATGGAAAAATAACAAAAGAGAATAAAATTCCAGTTAATCCTCTATAACAGGCAATAAACTGATCCAATTTCCCTTCCTTTGACCATTCTTCATTTCACCACCGGCGCCAAATTTGGAGGTCCGTAACTCTTCCCCACATTGACAATACTAGCATCAATCAAGCAGCTCATCTCAAGTTCATGCCTTTCTCGGAGCCTCTTCAATTCATTGCAGAAAATTAACAGCTCTTCGCGTTATTACAAACCAATGAGCGATGCAGGGAGAGAGAGGGAAAGGAAGGAGCACCTTCTGGCAAAATGAACTCAAGCGAGGAAAGGCCTGGTGACAGAAGAAGCAGGGGGCAGGGGCGGCGGAGGAAGAAGCATGGCGGAGGAGAAGCGTCGCCACTGCGAGGGTGGTCGGAAGGCAGGCCGTCGGAGATTCTCTCCCGGCGACCAGCTGCCGCAGCTGTTTCAAGTAGGGGTGGCTATACGGTCCGGTCCGGTTAAATTGGCCCAAATTGATCCGGTCCAGTCCGGTCTTTTTGAAAATATAAGGACCGAAGATTGGATTGGATACAGTCCGGTCTTGATCCGGTCCGGTCCCGATTCAGTCTTGATTTTACATTGAGATTGTGGGATTTTAGTGGCCTAAAGCCTTAAAGGGTGAGCCGTTGGTTAAGTTTTGTACTAAGTGCAAAGGTTTGTGACCGTTTATGCAAATTACCCTTAAGTTTTGGGTGTTAAGCTCTCTTATCCGGTCTTTATCCGGTTTTTTACCTCAAATCTAAGCCCAAAATTGGATTGGATTGTTTACTATCCGGTCCCGGTCCGGTCTCGGTCCGGGTTATACGGTCCGGTTTCCGATTTTTAATCCGGTCCCGGTCCAAATAGCCACCCCTAGTTTCAAGGAGCCGAGTCGTCAGATGAAAGGAAGAAGGCAGAATGAGATCTGGATGGGATGGGACGAAGAAAAAGTAGTTTTTTATTTTTTATTTTAATTTTATTTTAATTGTATTTGGTTGGATTACTTTTTTGTCCTTATTGTTATAGTAACAACAAATATACTGTTGTTATACTATCTGGACCCCTCCACTTGCCCATGGCCACCACCCACTCTGCCCATTTCGACTCCAAATTGAAACATGCGCGGTATCGGCAACCCCACATTTCGCCGCTAGCGAGATGCAAGCCTTGCACGAAGAGAATTACTGGATTCTAGTATAGCTACGATGGGAAGTGTTACCACAATTTCTGCCTAGCTCTTTCCCTCTCCGTCATGAACTCCAACCACCCCCGCCACTCAAAATTAATTTCTTTCTTCGTACGATTCAACTGCAATCTCTACCAGAAGCCCAGCTACAAAGGATTGGTACGCATCTGCCACTTCTGCGAGTTCGACGCACACATCGCCAGCGCAATCTCGCACATGAAATAAGAGTCGGCTACCTTGCCGCCACTATGTTGCTGATCCAACTGAGGCTACGAGTTCCCACCGGCGCTGATGAGAAATCAGGGATAAGAACAACCCTCGATGGTGGTCGTCAGGAGATCAAGAGGAGATGGTGTCGTCGCTGACAGAGCCTTCATGAATTCAATTTCGATGACGGTGAATTTCGCCTTGTTGGTGGAAAAATCGACGGTGTTTGAATCTAGGGTTAGGGATTTATTTTTAGGGAAACAAAGTAGAGTATGAGACAAGCAACCTTTTTGGAACTTTTCGGATTTTAATATTTTTTTTAAGTCCAAAAGCTGCAGCGCTCTTTGAACCGCTGGATTGGGTTACTGCCATAGGTATATCCGCATAAATGCGGCAAGGGTTATGGGAACCGCTGGCAATTAAACGTATCGTATGTTCTTTTCCTTGTAGTAAGAGACTGCACGCCCTGGTCTAACCTAAGCTCAAGTAGTTCCTTTTATAGAAATTATGAACTAGGAGAAAAGAAAATAGAAAAAGTGGTAAGAACATAGAATTCTACCTTTATCACATGAGCAACTAGACTTCCCGTTTGACTTTGAGAAGGAGAGCCTGAGATACAAAAATGGATATTTATTTAGTAATCACAAAAAGGCCACTATATATGTACAGCAGTAATAATAGGATATAATACACAAGGGAAAGAGGACATTCATAAACTTGAACAAGGAGCAAATGAGACAGCTTAAAGAAAGAGATAGAAGTTGCTAACCTCCATTACGGAACTGAAATTTTCTCCCATCTTTTGACTTTTGAAAGTGTTTACACCCAAAATATTTTGGTCATAAATATTAAATTAGAGCAATGCCGTGAGTTTTAACGATGCCGCGCGTAAACAAGGCCACGGTGGTTAGCGGTGCCGTGAGGTCAATATTGGCTCCGCAAATCCAACGACACTGTGAGCAAGTTTAACAATGTCGTGGTCGCGTGTTGCGAGTTTAACAATACCGCGAGTTAAGCGGTGTTGTGATCTCAACGATGTCGCGAGTTGAACTAGAATGAGAAGGTTAACATAAGTCGTG